GCTAGGTCGTTCATGTGTGTTATTGGAATTTTAAGTGTCTTTCAGGTCCTATTACTATGTAGAACATATTGACTTGTCTCCATCATATTTCTCCTCAAAACCTTCATCTTGCATGCTTCCTCCTTAAATAGTCTCATATTTCACATTTTGTTTTACTGGGTTACATAAGCAGTATTAGTTTTGTCACCAGTACTTGCCCTATAATTACAAAAAAGACATCGAAAAAAATCCATGATTTTACCTCAGTTGGAGTATCGAAGTGCAGCTTATTAGAAGGTAGGCTTGTCTTCGACATAAACAGTCGAAGAGATACTGCACAATGCTGGAAAGTGATATGAATGCAGCCGGGTTACGTCACCGGTATAAGGGCCACGTAGTGTGACGACCGAACTGCCAGTATTCGGTTTGAACGCAGGACTGAAGAACCAAAATGCATTCGAATAGACCAGACAACGCTCTTCTGTATAGTTTACCAAGCGTTTTTGAGACACCTATATCAGATTTTATCAAAACACAAACCATGTGAACAATTTAGACGGTTCTAATTTAGGAAATAGAACAAATTATATCAAAAATACAAAAACCTCAAACGGTACTTCCTGTGCTATGCATTCAGAAGTTTCCCTAACGCAAAGTAACGAGATCTGAACATAGGTTAAAATACACGACACGGAGAAGAAACAAATAAACGACTGTACTGTCCAACAAAAAAATCTGCGGAGAGATTTTCATCATTCTCTTTCCGTTACACATAGCAAGCGTAAAACCCCACCACTAAGGGTAAATTCACATTCAGCACACATTACGGAGGATATTTAACCGACATCCCAGGAACCAGAGGTTAAACAATCCTCTCAAATCCGAAGTAGACACGACAAACCGTGGACCGTAAGAGCTGCCGCTGCGGCGAACAGTCAAGAACCAACAAACATGGTGGTTCTTGGAGTGCCTGAGCTAGTAGTTGATGGTTGAGGTGAAGCTCAAAAATGAGATATGTAATGGTGGTGTTGGCTGTCGTGTAGCGTAGGCATTTACACAACTACGGCCTTTAGCGTGTGGGTCTTCATAACTGATATTCGTGAACTTCAGAAAATTAGGGGACTAAACTAATGCTCTTCAGGCCTGGTACATCTCGTGAAATGATCTTTGCAGCCACAGATTTCGCGGTACCAAATTAACTGAGATTACAGAAACACGCTGTTGCTTTGTTGAGAACAGTGCAAAGTACTTGATTGAAGGAATATACGAGCCCTTTCCCAAATTCTCAAACCTGAAAAGAATAGATAGAACAAGCGATACTAAAGCAGTTATACAAAGCTATTATATGAATCGAATCCATCAAGTGAAATGAAAAGACAGAAGCGAGGAGGTCCGAAAAAATATTTGGTAGGCTACCAATATATGGAGGATTTACTGATCTAATCTGGCTAGCGATTGCAGAGGATGTTGAGCACGGCGTTCCCACTCGAGATCTGGTGAGAATACATGACCGAGTGCCTTCAGCTAGGTGATGCCATTAAAAGTAATGTGGTCAGCATCCAATACTGAAAACCTACAGAGCTATTGAATTGGGTGGTTTATTTACCCGTACACTAATATTCGGAGGCTTCCAACCCCACCCCGACATCTCAACACCCAGAAAGCAACCCCCATGAGTTAGTTCTATATGCGGCTCACCACAGGCATTTGAAGTTCAAGACTGACTGAATTTATGCGTGGCTCCATAAGATGAGACAGAAACAGAAAACCTTGAAGATAAGATTACTTACTAACAAGTGATCAGCTTCTAGTTGAGGACGTACATGTACACACACTAATAGGAGGTAGCAACCATGATACAGTCACGTTTAACGTGGTCACAAAGGAAATGCTTCGGAGGGACGAGAATGTTTATTACCTTATCTACACACAAAAGGGAAATTTTGAGCTAATGTTTGCTCTCTAATATTATCACCTGTACGATGTGCCATTACTGAACAGATCATAATATGTGAACTAAAAGCACAACACCAAAGTATAAAACGATTTATTAACTTGTTAATGTATCTGCATGAATATTTTATCATAAATTTTCACTGATGTTACATATTTTATAACTTCACTGTGTAATATCTTATCTGTAAACCCATGTTGTAAATTATTGATCATTCCTGTAAAGATTGAGTATGTCAGGTTTGCCAGAAATGCATTATTATTAAGTTTCTTTTGCATGAAAATTTGTCCCCTGTTTCTAGAACCAGTGTGTCGCATTGTAGTGTCAGTTATTACGTTAAGCCCATATACCTTATTCTAGCTTTCGGACAGCTCAATCTATTCATTCTACTTGAGTCACATTCTGACCCTGTCAGTTATTCGCTGATCAATCTTGACTGATTTTATATTAGCGCGTAAGTACATTTCTTATTTTATTACTCATCGCATGTCTGTAACGTATTTTTGTGTAACTATAAATATTGATTAACGCTTCACTATGGTAATTTAGCTTACCCGCCATCTCCACTGTGCATCGTTTCTCTTCTCTCTTCTCCATTCGCTTCATATACAGAATATATGTTTTCAAAAGCTCATTCTCGTTATTTGACTTATGTAGTTCCGTTATTGACTAACGCGATTCAAGTCCATGATTATATACAAGGATAGGCGACATATATATTTCAACGGCGATCATTCACACAATCTATTTGAAGTCGGATACCGGGCCATATCGTGCGATCTAAATGACGACAAAATAAAGGGTCCCACAATATAACAGCTGAATGACTTAGTACAGTAAATCCTGTGACATCTGTAGCATTTTGATATTGTCAGTCAACTGTAACATAGCCCCAAGTATCTCCACAGGCTCATTACCAGAAAGCCTACAAAGCAGAAGAATTTACCAGACGAATCTAAATAGCAAAGATCTCACTACTTCAGAGATAGCAGATATGCTTAATGTCAATCAAACCAGGCGTCTTCATTTGCTGAACACCTCTCGACCCTCATGCCAGTTGAAAGGTGACATGTTATAATACAGAGTATATCTTTTTCTGGGCACTCAGGTCTTCCGATATAAAATACATCCTTTCAACTTTTCGAAGCTTAGACCTAGTTTTTTAGTTGATATAGGCAGTAATTGTTTTAAAAGCAACTTTATAGAGAATAGTAGTATCTAGTGAAGAATTAGTGGCAGTATTGAATATTACTAATGTTTATACTGATTCGTCCTATCTGACAATGAGCAATATATTGTTTAAGAGTTCTGAAGGTCACAATTGGTCTGAGAATAGAGCAATATAATTAGTAGAAAAAGGGACCGTTAGCACCTGCATGACCGGTCCATGCCATGACGATTAAATGTTCTCGCGTTTACCGTTCCTGAACTTCACTCCGTGTTAAATGTCGAATTTCACTCTTTTCAGCTTCAATGATCGTGTCGTTTGAAACCAAAAGAGCTAAACTCCTCTACCACCAGAATCAACATGACTTTGGTTAGATACGAAAGCAAGTGGTAATTGTGCGCGTTGTAGGTTACCGAGAGATTAATAAGAATCCTCCGGATAATGATAAACTGGAGTTAAACGAGAAAAGCACCATCGACCGATGGGAAAATAAATGTAACAATTTCATCATGTTTGGTTTTAGTCCAGACACTGTAAATGAAATTTTCACGTTAAACATTATTTGGGAGTTAAACAAGTTAGAATTATGTTATTGCAGAACAGTTTAGTACAGAGACATCTAACAAATCACAATTACCAGTGGTTAATAGACTAACTTATGAACGATGGAAGTACTTGGTGACTAGATCAATAGTAATCAAATAGAATAATAACTTCGTGACTGTGTTGAACTTATCATTATCTTGGGTTCAAATTAGAAAGTCAGTCAGCGTTAATCACTACAAAGTATCTCTGGAAAACTCTGGTCGTAGCTGTTACTTGGCATTGAGGAGAAGATGCATACCCAAGTCCCCCAGATTCATGACCACTGGAAAACCTACAAGCCGGGAGACCTTTTACCTCACGAACCTAAGTGTAAAAGGTCGCACTACCTCAGAGGTAGCGAATATGCTAATGCCAACCAAACCGGGAGTCTGCAGTTGCTGAACACCTCTCAACCCTCATGCCAGTTGAAAGTTGACATGCTATAATATACACTGGTCATAGAAACAGAATACAAACTTGCACGCCCTGGAATATGGGTCTTAGTAAGACTGAATTGCTCACTATAATAGTCGGAGCGCTTCACGGAGTATGATCTCAGGCTTGCAACCACGGAGGGGTTAAACGTCAACCCAAACTACATGGGTTGCAGCTAAGGCAAACGCAACTCTCCACTTCATGTGAAGATTGTGTGGTGCAATCACCTCAGAGTTTTTCCTAGCACCGTTTGAGATGTACTCATGACCCTACCTTTCAGCTCATAATTTTATTGCGCCCCTCTCTCAAAAGAGACATAAGTTTCTTCGACCAAGTACCCAGTGAGTGATAGGGCTAAAACGGAAATCTCACGTGGAGAGGCTCCACATTTGGAATGCTATCCCGGACGAGGTGACTTGGCAGACACGTTCTCACTCATGGCTTACAATTTTCCTTGTGGGCTGGTTGTATCTGACTCATGTCTCATAAATTACCGCGACTATCATCACCGCATATCGGTAACCACATCCTGTCTCACTTGCTTTCATCTCCGTTCCCCCTCTTATCCTTTCGACTTCGTTTTCGTGCACACTATGGATTACGTAGATTGTTTACTTTTGCTTGAGACAATCGTCTTCTCACAGCACTGTAATTATCACGTGCTTATCTTCACATTATGACCAATCAACCTCCCATTTAGTGATGTGACAGCTGATGGTATCCGGGATCCCTACTGTCTTGAGACAAACATACTCAAATTACAAGATATGCAAATCCACAAATATCTGGCTATGTGACTAGAATTGGTGCAGTCGAGTGGCTAGACTATCATACATTGGACATCACCACATACCTGAAACCGTACTAAAACAGCAAGAAGTGAGTGCGAAGAAATCAATCGCTTTATGCAAGCTCGTGACAAATATATTGGATATTGTATGTATATGCACATACCACAAATGAAGCCTGTAAACGCAACCTAGCATATAAAATTAATTTTTTCTCCATGTTTCTTCTAAATTTGAACATACAGGTCTGTGCTTAAGCGAACGGTTAATTCACTCCAGCTTGTTAGGAGACATTTTGTCTCGATTCACAACCTCTTGCCCTTGATTTCAACGACCACATTAAGTTTGACCTTGGTTGCTTGATCTGTGTAGCAGATGCGTGTTCATCCTTCTCGGTTAGTTCGATTATCTTTGATCTCCCTACTATTCCTACTATGTATCGCTATTATATATAATAAATATGTGGATAAAGCGCTGTCTGGACCTAATTCTATAAGCCAACTTATGCGAAATCCAGATTTTGCAAGTGGAAATAATGTAAAGCCATTTAAAATTGACTGGGAAAACTACTCGCTTACTGCACTTGAAAGTTCGAGAGTAGGACCTGGAGAGAATGGCATGCCTTTCAAATTATCCTCTCTCGATAAAGAACTATCCAATAAAACTATAAATGAGAACGGTTTTAGTGTGTATGTTAGTGGGAAAATCAAAACAGATAGATCTATTAAAGATATCCGCCATCCACGTTGTAAAGGAAAACTATATTCCAGCAACCTTCCTATTGCTTCAGTGATTATCCCTTTTTTTGAAGAGCATTGGGAGACTCTCCTACGCACAATCGCATCCGTTTTGAATCGAGCTCCTTCAGGACTGATAAAGGAAATAATTTTGGTTGATGATGGAAGCTCACGAAAATATCTGAAAGATGAACTTGATAATCATCTCGCGACTGCTTATCCAAGTGGTATAGTACGTGTGATTCACCTGGAACGGAGGGGAGGTCTTATTCGAGCGAAAACAGCGGGCGCCAGAGAAGCTACTGGAGAAGTACTCATTTTCCTGGATTCCCATTGTGAAGCAGGAATAAACTGGCTTCCACCACTACTTGATCCAATTGCTGCGAACTACAAAACAGTTGTTTGTCCATTTATTGATGTAATAGATGCAGATACCTTTGAATATCGTGCACAAGATGAAGGGGCTCGAGGAGCATTTGACTGGGAATTGTACTATAAGCGCCTCCCACGCTTACCAGAAGATAGACATCATCCTGAGGAGCCTTTTGACAGTCCAGTGATGGCAGGAGGTTTGTTTGCTATCAGTGCGAAATGGTTCTGGGAACTTGGAGGCTATGATCCTGGTCTTGTTATTTGGGGTGGAGAGCAATATGAACTATCGTTCAAGATTTGGATGTGTGGAGGGCGTATGATTGATGCTCCGTGTTCTAGAATAGGTCATATATATCGTAAATACTCAACTAACTTTCCGAAAGCAGAATTTGGGGACTTTGTTGGTCGTAATTACAAGTGAGTGAAACAGTTGTACTATTTTACTGAGTATCTAGGACATCATCTACGGTATTTTCCGTCGAGATTTCACGTTTATTTCTAGCATTCGATAACATTATAGTTTAAGAGAGTACATTGATGTGTGAAAATCGGCATATATTTTACTTCGCTCTTTAAATTCCTTAGTGTAATTTTGACCGCAGATTTATGAATTGCGTACTCAATTAAAATCTAAGAAGATTTCTTTAGTGGATTTCAGATTCATGCATTTTCTATGAGAAGTGGTGACACTATCTAACTCTTCAGTGATATATGTTGGCGAAATCCATGACGGCTTCAGTGTCTCGTATGTCTTATCAGAACAAATCTTTGTAACTACATCAAAAACCGATCAGTTGACTATATGCCAATGATAAAATTTAATCACTTTAGATTGGTGCAATTTGTAAACGAGAAATGTGCAGGTAAAATAATAATTAAACTTAGATAATAGGTTGTTCAATTTTGAAAGTAATGACACAATTAAAAATGAATTTCAGCCACATGGTCTGGCGTTGCCAGGTGTTGACCTCTGCTATCAATGTGGATTCAGGTTACGATTCAGATTAGTATAAATGGATTTAAATTAGTATCGTATCCCACCACTATACGGTCAGAATGTGACTAGAAAATGCTTATTTTCATGACTACTCAAAGTTTGCTATCACCATTAAGTAAAACATTTAGTTAAGTCATCAGCAAGTTTTGTATCACACGTCACATTAATAGAAAAATATCGCGACGTAAAGTGGTGGGTAAATATGGATAAGGCAGTAACTATCACGATTGAAAAGTTGGGAAACACATTTTAACCTACAGAATATATGTGAACGCATAAAAATTATCATTCTAACCCAGGACACTTCAACAAAAGCTTCATTATGCAAATTTGTTTCGGTAGTCAATTTAATAGGCTGGTCTTTTCTTTATTTCGTGTAACATGCTAACTTGAAAAACTTATATGTGGTCAGTATCTACATAGAAGTAGAGTTATGGACTTTTTGGTGAAGTAGTAAGTAAGTAAGTGAAATAGTTGTGCTGTATTTCAACTAATATCTGTGACCTTTGTTGCATAGTATCAATCGATGTCGAGTTAAGATACTCAAATAAATGACCCCTGATTTACTCAACGAATAAATTTTTTTGAAAATTCTCAAATTAGCCATTTTAATAATTTAGCTGTTTCCCTCCACTACATATCTGATTAACTTGAATAAATTTAGAGGACGAATCATCCTCATACTTTCATCCCAGATCATTCGTCTGTATGAAAATATAACCGAACTACCTGTACAGTGTGACCAGATGCTAGTAGTAATTAAAAGATATGGTCAGTGAAACATCAGTTCTTATAATTTGGTAAATATCAACTTCACTGTCTACTCGTTCTGATATTTTATTCCATATCAGCCCGAAAATGACAAAGGTGAAGGCTGGTCTGCGCGATTGATAAGAATGTTAGCATTCAATGAAGCCTATAATTATTTTCAGTCCTTCAGACTGAATACTTTGGAAAAGCGTTAAAAATATGACTACGAAGCTGATTAGTTCTCTGTTGTTTCAGTTGTGGAAACTAAAGGACAGCAGATAAGTTCCCTCAAGTCTCCTCAAAGTAATAGCGTTTTTTCTACTTGATGGGTAGTAACAAGAGGATTTTAAGGTTTGGAATAGTCTGGATTTACAATCCACTCAGACAGGTTGACCACATATAGGTTTACAACAATTTGTGCTATTTAACATACCTGAACAAATTGAGTTATTAGGAAACTTGAATAATCATTTTCTCGTCTCTATATAAACTTAGGCGGTAAAAAGTGAACTCAGTATCACTGGACAGCATGAAATATTAATGTCGTAGGTTTGACTTCTATGCGTTACAATCAATGATTTACTCTTGCTGTTTTGTAAATAGTGGACCTTACTGATAATTAACTGATGTTAAAGAAATTAATAAATGTAAAGTAAATATTTTTCTTTTTTTTACTGAGAATTATCGCTTCCTTCATAGACGTGTAGCAGAAGTTTGGATGGATGAATATAAAGAGTATCTGTATAAACGGCGGCCAAGATACAGGGATTTGGATGCCGGTGACTTAACCAAGCAGCGCGAAATCCGAGAGAAACTTAAGTGCAAGTCATTTAAGTGGTTTATGACAGAAATAGCCTTTGACTTGGTTAAGAAGTACCCACTCATAGAACCAATATCTAAGGCTGATGGAGAGATTCGATCGGTTGCTGACTCATATTTATGCTTGGATGCAATGGGTGCAAATGAGTATACTCCAATTAAATTACGTCCTTGTACTAAAGATAATCCTAATGCCATTGGTATTCAGAAATTCGAATACAGCTACCGTGAAGATATTCGAGTTATAAAGCAGTAAGTCTCACCTCACCGCTTAAACATCCAGAAAAAATTTTGTTTTTATTAATGTGATTTATACATTTATTTCTGCATATGTTGAAAATTCACATAGTTCCTCATATTATGATATTCGAAACTAGGATTTATAATTAGTTAATTCATAGCTTTTGCTTAAAACATGTACTGTGTGCATTATTATCATAGGATGTAAGCAGTTTTGTCAGATGCTTGTGCCAAGCGGTTCGAAGTTCACTGGCGTGTGTTCGTATTTTATGCAATTTGGTGTTCGTTAGTGCACCAAATTTTACACTGTTCCGCCTCGATATTCACCGGTGGACTGTCGTTAATGCTAATAACATATCTAGTTGAACACTTACAGAGATGACTTTTGATTACCATTGTTATCACTAACAGTAAAGTCCCAATGTTTGGCAAGACTGCCTAATGTAATTTTCTAATTAAGAAAGGCGTTCATGGGCCGTTAGCCATGTTTGTTCTGTGCAGGCTAATTGTTTACATTGAATTAGGAATATCAAGTAAGCATTCAATGCTTATTTATTTATTTCATTTTCATTTTTAATACAAAATAACACTGAGTACAATATTGGATCAAGCTATGGACCACGGAAGATTAAATGACAATCGATGTCATGGAAGCTGACATTTTTTGTTGGCAACATTTATGGAATCATGCTGTTCATTAGCCCCAAGCTAACATTACGATTTACACCAAAAACTCATTTAATATTATTCGATACATTTTTGCCAATTGAAGTATTCCGATTTAAGTATTTGGGAATATTGCATCTAAGTATTCTGTTTACTATAGAAGAAACCAATCAAACTAAGTTACCTGTTTTGTGCTTGTATGTGATTATAAGGTCCTGGATCTGTTTCGGTTTTTTCCACTAAAGAAAAATAAAATGTATTTCTAGAGTACAGAAATTTCAGTAACTGTGTTAGTTCGAATGACTTCTAGCTTTCATCCTATGTTTGACTTGTCGGATACCTTATTTATTGGGCTTAGTTCATATTATTCGATATCACTATATTCTATAAACCTTTCTGTCATATAATTTCTTTTCACATAAATTCAACTCACATTTTATCATCGACCCAAATTCTGTTTTTGTCAACTTCTGGTGAATGCAACTTTTTTACATTGAGTACTGCTAATCTTATGATTGTCTGTCATACCCATCCTCATTCGCTACACATACTATTCAATAAAGGAATATTACTGTATTGTTTGCAACTTACTTAAAGTCATTTGCCTTTGTAGTTTGATTTCCCAAAGGATCTGTGGTATACACAAAGTAAACATTCTGATAAATTATTCTTAATTCTCTAAATTATTACAGTTGGTAGATGTAAATAATTACTAAAGTAATTTGTGGAAAGAAATAGTTTACTGATTCCCAACCGTTATCTTATTTGGAAACCCTACGAAAGTGTAACTGGACAAAGGAAAACGATTCACAGTCATTTTGCTCATGGTTGTTTCTAAGTTTAAGGTCTTGGCTTTTCAATTTACAACATTAATATCAGCACTGAAAATCCATGGAATCTCAGTGTTTATTTTTCATAATTAACCTTTCCTAACCCACCTCGATTGTGCAAGTCTAATATTGCTTGTTACATTTTAGAAATGCTTTATTGCCGAACGGATTTTAGCACAGTTCAAAATTATTTGAACCGACAACAACCTCATATCTCATTAACTCATAGAATATCAGGAGACAATACCACCTTTCTTCAAAGGACTCACGCTTAGCAAAAATATCACTATACATTTTTAAGCAATATAAATTACAGTGAAAAAATGGTTAAGTAGTTTGTGTTGAATTGGTTCAGTGGCATAATAAATTCTCTCAGTAAAGTTGTTCCCACTACAAATTAAAATCTGGTGTATAACAATTTGTATATCACTAAAGAATGACTTACATTGTTGAATACTGCTTCAGCAGCTTCCTGGTATAGTCAATCGAATTTTGACTTCTCTTCCCTTCATAACAGTATACAATAGCCGCGAAACTTGATTAATATGTTACTCAGTCGAGTATAGATCGTCTGCATTGTTACGATAAATAAGCTCAACCTGGTTTTTAAGATGCCAGATGCAGGTAATTGTATCGTTATTGAGAAAAAATATTAACCCTGGAATATGGAGATCGGGATAATCCCCCACTCTGTCGTAGATATAGATTATCAGAAAGGGGCGTAATATTTAGATAAATGTGAACATGCGGAAAAGTTTTCCTAATGGTGCCTGACTGAATTACCTTTAGGAAAGCTCCTTAGGTCCGGTGCACACCAGAGCGAAAGACCATAAACTGCACCATAATCAGTACACAATGGTTGACACTAAGCTTGTTTGTGGTATGTACGTGAAGGAGCCTATCGTCATAAGACGACCCATCATTCATCGTTTTGTATTCGCTGGCCTACGGCCTGAGGTGAATCACATTTGTACCTGTGTGTATATTATAGAGTGTGTAGGCATCGGTTTATGCCCTCTATATTTGCATGTAACGTGTACTAACGGCTGTTGCCATGCTAGTATGTTCATCATAGTTCTCAAAGCCTTTGAGTTGTTACAAAGTTTCTGAATGTGATAGGAAAGTGCAACTGCATTCAAGTAGACTGCTAACGTGTCCGTCTGCATTACATAAAGTTTGATTGGATCTAAATGTTTACTAACCAAAACTAAGATATAAAGTAAACTGCTAATGTGCCTGTTTGATTTGCTTCCTTCATTGCTTCAGTCTCGCACTCTACAAAACTTTTTCTCGAAAAGACAGTCTGCTTCGCCTACCCAATATAGTGGCATAAATAAAGAACCTATAATAACAGACTCGAATATTGTATTATTTGCTGACCATGACTCAATTCGTTATTGCAGATAAAAACCGAAGATAGCGAAATTTGAAAGATTATTAAAAGTATATGATTAGTAGCTATAAAGCATAAACATTCCATATTTAGTATAGAACACAAAGTAATGATATTCACAAGCGTGATATGGTATTTCCAGTCACTACTTTCGATTGTTTCACATATTACAACATACAAACTCAGCATTTCAAATCATCACTGGCAAACTGCATAAATTTATATTGTTGTGGTTTGGTAACTACTGTTACTACTACATGAGCAAACCTATGGATTAATTTTTCAACTAGTCTGTTTATATATTAACAAACCATTACATTCATTAATATCAGAAAATGAAGTAAATATTTTGCCTATTGTGCTCGATCTTCATGTACAATCAAATTGTTTTATTGAATTATCTGAGAATGAATACAATTTTACTGTTCTGTTTCTTCGTTCAACCTGTCAAGTGTTTTATCGATTCATATTTGTTTACTCAATAGCTTAACAGAATAGAAAAAGACCAATTCATTTTACTGACGAGTTGTTAGGGTATTTTTTGTAATATATATTTCTGTGTATTAGTGATGCTACCCGACTGGCTTACTAACCTTAAAGTAAGCTACTCAAAAAGATTGAAATTCGAGTATTTCAACTACTAAGTTTTCTATCGTGTCATTGAATAAAAATAATGAGAATTCAACAAAGAAAATTTACTCTGCTACGCATTCATCTACTTAAGATATACATTCGTATTTATAGTTGTATGATAAATATACCTTTTCACTTCATGATGTAATTTATAGAAAAATGTAAACAATAATACCAGTATAAATATGAGATTTCTGATAAAATTGTATGAAAATAAACTGAGTTTTATTTACATTTCATGACTAGATATTTGGAGATAACAACATTACTTCGTTTTGGAGCAGTGTCTCAGTTGTTAAAGTGTTCGACTTTTCACCCCGAAGTTGTAGATTCAAACTTTACTCCACTTCGTTTCGAGCGACCAGGCAGCATCATTAACCCTCACACTTAGAATGTGGCTTGAAGCCAAGTACACAAATCTGTATTAGATAAATAAGTAAGATCTTTTGTTCTTGGTTGTCCTTGTTCAACTTATGTTTCTGTATTAGACCAAATCCAACCTGTTTTATGAGAATATTTGTCAAGATGAAAACGAATAGTTTGACACAAATTGGGCGCCGACTATAGAAAAGTCATTTTATGCGAAAATTATATTTGAAATAATCTCAGAGATTGAAATTTAAATAATTTCAACGTTTCGTTCAGCTAACTTGTCTGGACTTCAGGGTAATAATCAAAGTCATCAAAGAAACATATAGCGTTTTAACAATCAAATCTATACTGTGTTAATCCGATCATATTTATTTAGAAATTTACGATTCTACCTTATTAAAGCAGATTTATAAACCGTAACCAACCAGTTAGAAGTGTATCTCTACGTATTCCATATAACTTAATATTACTAAAAACGTAAATATGCGATGTTCGAAAAAATTATTCTCTGGTAAATTTACATGGTACGATAAAAAGACTGATTTTATCAGTGCTATGTGTAGTATATATTAGCATAGTACATTTCTAACAATCTGATCCTATATTGTCCTCTGAAAAAGGATAAATGTAAACATAGAAATAACAAAGATATGAAGGGAAGCATAGATCATTCCACACTGGCTATTAAATATGAGGTCAGTATTATCAGAGTAAGTTCAAATTAATTATGAACTGTTTTTAAAGACGCAAAGGGAATTTGGATTCCTGCATTATTAGTGGCTTTATTTAATATTCTATTTTCGGTATCATGTAGAATCCTCAGAACAAGATATTTCAACAAGCTTCTTTTCCAAAAAAAAGTGAAAGAAACTGATAACTGCATACATATGTACACAAGTCAAGTAGATAAGCTACCTGAAATTAAATGAATTTTTTTAAACGTTTGACTGTACAACTCTTTGATTGGAAACATGTTTATGAATACACGTTGTTGACTGGGTCGGCTCGAACAACCTGTTGTTCACATTGTACAGTTGCCAGATAAGGTATTTTTTCTTGGGTTCATGGATTCTAATGTATTCACGTCTCGTTCTACCAGAAATACATGAAGTAGATGGTTAGTATCTGATAAGATAACACCTGTCAGGTGTCCCCAAGATTTTAGATGTCCGTTCACAACCATAATAATAATGACCTTAAAAGATTCACTACACTCCCTGTTAACTTTCTTTAGCACTTTCCACAATACAACAGTCTTTTCTCAAAAGCTCGGTGAAGAATAATGGAGAACAATAAAATATGATAGGTAATATGCAAAAATTAACAAATCGTGAGAGTAAATGTCGATTAATACCAAAAGCATGCAATCTTAATACAGTAAGTCAGACGGGAAACTTTCTTCTATAACAATAAAACATGAAAAGACCATGAAGGATCAGAGGAAAAATGTATACCAAGATAAATGAATTTTGACAGTGTGTTTATCAAAGAATCTCTAACAGTAAAAGCTTTATGGAATTCTGACAGGGTGTTTAGGTGCTGTTCGTGTCTCAGGCTAAATTAACAGTTTGACATTTGGGCGGATTAAGTGTGAGACCACTATCAGACCATCATTCAATACGAGACAAGAACTCATTCATTTCTATGGACTGTAAAGAGGTAGAAATCAGCATGCATACTGTGAGACCGTCCTCATATTTGACAAAAGTGTTTTCCACGGAAGATGGCAGATCATGCGGAAAAGAGAGAGAAGAAGTTAAAAACAGATTTCCTCTGAAAACAGTGTACTGTTCTCTTCCAGAGGAGTAGGAACATGGCCAGTTTGTTATCCAGCTGTCAGTGTTGACTCTGATTAAATTATTGGAAGGGGTTTTGTGGAAAATTGGTAATTTCAATAGTTGAAATCATGAGTCAATTGAAGCTAGAACACCATGAAAAACCTGGAGGCCACTGAACGGCCGTCTCGTCCCAGTACGGGACTCCTCAGCAGTGCGCACTCACGATCCCGCCCCCCGTGGGAATTGAACCCAGGACCTGTCAGTCTCGCGCCAGGCGCTTAACCAACTAGACCACTGAGCCGGCATCTAACGGTGTTAATGTCTAACTTCAACCAATCCACGAAGTTGCGCCACCGTCACCATTGTCTTCAGTGAGCTGATATCTCACAACAGACCTGGTTGGATTCCACTGGTCACGGCTTCTCACCAGAACTCCCATACTAGGACGAAACGGCCGTCCAGTGCTTCCAGGTTTTTCATGATGGTCTAGCTTCAACTGACTCATGATTTCAACTAATGAAATTACCAATTCTCCACAAAACCCCTTCTAATAATAATCATCTGCTCACTAGTGACTGACTTCAAGGGATACTCCTGGAGTTCTGGTGAGAAACCATGACCAGTGGAGTTCAATCTGATTAAATTGTTAGATAGAAGTTGTCTTGGGATGAAATCAAAAGCAGAACGGCAACGGCGTCTAAAGTGCTTCTTTTGCATTTGTACGCAAACTGACACAGATCAATGTGCTCTTTTGGTGCAGGTTAAAGTGAGAGTGACAGTAATTGTTCTGCTGTTTTGAGAAAAGGTGAAGTTATTGCAATGGCTCGTAAGGCTTCAATAGATTTTTGAACACATACATCTCTGCGAATGTTTATTTCAAAAATTATGAGCTGGATTTCGTAAAATATCCTACTGGTCGATAATGTAAGATCAATTTCATGCTTCACTAAAGGCCCAGTCAGCATTTAAACGAGTGCATCACATCCTACTGTGCTTATTATTTTACATTTGTTGATACATGTACATATAAAGGAGTAACCTACGTGTAAGGTAGCCGAATATGTACCGAAGTGGTAATAAAAACAGTTTAATTCTACTAAGAGCATATGAAAAAAAGCCGCCTTCGTCTATTGGTAAGTAATTAGCTAAAATACGTTGCAGCATTGATATCAAACCATACTTTGAAGTATAATATAGAGATGTTCTAGAATGAGTATTTAGGAAACCTTATAAGCTATATGGGAATCCGAATCCCCTTTTTGTCTTCAAAAACAGTTTGCACTTATTTTGAACTTACTCTGATAATATTGATTTTAAATTTAATATCGATTGGAATGATCTATGCTTCCCTCGCTCAATTTATTCGAAATTATCAAGTCAAATCTTGGTAATGACACTTACTTGATATCTTTTTTGTTTCTGTGTTTACTTTTGTCTAGTTGGATGTTTTCATTTTTCACAGAAATACCTCAACAAGTTAAATATGGAGTCATATTTTTCAAAGTATATTACGCTAATGTATACCACGTAGCTTTAATAAATTTCGTCTTCTCGTTGTATTACCCAAATTAGTAACTTCGACTAAAGTAAAGGAAGTCGTATCTCATCCAACAATACTGACGTGTTGTCGATTACATCACGGATTGATATTAGTTGAACAGTCACTGGCCTTCTAAACCTGAATTAGATCCTTTTTAATCTGATTAGTCTATCAAAAAATTCTCTCTATTGTGTTTATTTGATGTTTGATCGAACTGATTGTTAGATTACTAGACTAAGTCCTCTTACCTTTTTATGTCTAACCTTTAATCTAAATTCTATGCGTTAAAAATAAATAACTATTAACTTGACAAAATGTCTTGTCTGGAAGTTTCTAAATCGTAACTTAAAAGTACTGTTTTTGATAATGATACTTTTTGTAAGATCGTTGTTTTAATTGTAAAGCCTTTATTGTTTTTCTGGGTATCATTAAGGCCTAGTGAAAATGTAAATGAACTTTAATCGATCTGTGCTGATAACTCCTTTCAGTGTTTGTGTTCCCATCGATCGTTTTCGCAGATTATAACTTGTGTTACTGTCATTGATTAGCCATAGTCATGCTAATATTTGTGTTGATTGCAAATTGACTTGAATATAATGTTTCTAAAAATATTTGATATTTTTTGAGTTTCCTTTATCTAAAATCTTGTCATAATTTTCGAATCGAATTCGGGTCTCTAGTTGTCTGTATCGATTTACATTAGTGACAATATGTCGTGTTATCTAACTGCTAATTTGTATTCATTTATACGTGGGCGTTATGTGTCTGATAATAAGATAGGCAGATGAATCAGTGTGAAGCCACGCACGCATATTACCTTAGCTCATAAGAACACAAAAATAGAAACTGGCGATATGGTTTAAATAATAAAATAAACGGACAGGTATCACTTCATGGTATTTTCAATCCTAACTTTTTTCTAGAACATCCTTATCTTAAATAAATAGCAGATAATCCAATATACCTGCCCACTTCAGTCGGTGTATGTTTACAAATTCATTGTCTAACTGGTTACCTTTATCTAAAACTTTAAAGTTATCTTAAAATTGCCAATCTAATGGTTTCATTACATGGTGGTCTAATTGCCTAACTTGTTAAACAAGTGTCTATAGTTAGTTATATTTTATCCCATAATGTTATCTTTTTCATCTTTTGCTAATAACTCTTCTTTACTATTTCTCAAAAGGTTTTTATCATATTTGACAATTATTTTGACTTTGCTTACTTTCATGCATTCCTTATTTACTCATTTGCAGAGAATCCTGTCTAGATGTACCTGATTCAAAAAACAAAGCCGTAGTAATCTTGTATCCATGTCATGGTCAAGGTGGTAATCAACAATGGAAAATTCGACCAACTAATCGTAACAAGTCGAACCCTCTACACTTGGTTCTTGGAGCTAGTGGAGCTTGTTTAGATTCTGATCCGAAAAATCGTTTAGTTTTTGTGAAATCATGTGATTATACTTCACCAACTCAAAGCTGGACTTGGGAAAAATTGAAAATTGATGTGGCTGAATACTCGGTGAAAGAAGCTGGTCTATAACATTTTTGATTTGCTTTTGTTTTATTTGGAAAATTTATGATCTGGTTAGTGAAAATTATTGTAAGCCTATCTGTCATTCTCTTTTCTGTGATATATATGTATAAGCAACCTATTTTTAGCTGTTTATGCTTTATTTTCTTCTGAATTTTCTACAAATATTTTTCAATAAATATTGTGTTTTGTGTAAATCTCTTGTTGAATTTGTTATTGATGTAACAACGGACTCCTTGTTTTCACCCTGCCCCAAATGCCCTGATACGGCCGAGGGTGGGGAGAGTTCTCTCTCCCTCTCGAAATGCTCTCAAATGGCCGCGTGCATACAACCACTGTCAGGGAAGTTCTACTCACTACCTTCTCGCGGCATTACTGTTGTTTACGAAATTGAGAGGACGAAAAGCAAATGTTCGGCGCTTTAACCGGGTTGGTGGATATGGATGATTCAGATAGAGTAGTTGGAAAACCCTCATTCCAAACCAATGGTGCACATGGGCTCCAGTATCTCGTGGGAACAAATGCATCTCCTGACATTTCTCCACTTAATGAAACCTATTTCTATAACTAAATTATTAGTTAATCTTGAGAGATGTACAGAAAGCTATAAATTTACCGATCATATCTGGAAAAGCCCAAATTAAAATGTTAGATAAGAATTACAAATTGAAGTACCATCTACTGAATTGACAAATGCTTGAAAACTCATCGAGGTAGACCCAAAGAACTATGAAGAGTAATGATTACCAAAACTTAGACTTATAAAAACCTTACTAGATAAATATGAGCAATGGTCGGGAACAAAAGTGAAAGAAATGGAAAAGATAAGAGCTATGGACGACATTGAACAAATATCCAGACTCATCAAGAAAATAGGTAATAAAAAGACAGATGTTCGAAAGATCTCTTTGGAAACAGACAAAACCATCAAGATTGAAGAAGTTGAAAGATGAGGAAAACATTTTACTTACTTACTTACTTACGCCTGTTACTCCTCGTATGTGAAGGATTCAACATCTTCCAGAGTTTCGCCATCAAGAGTGATTGGACTGCTGTTCTCCATGTTGTGTTTGAGGACCTTGCTTTTCCCTTCGTGTATGTTGAGGCCTACTGATGCAGAGACTGCTGCTATACTGGCTGTCTTTGTCTGCATTTGTTCGTGTGTATGTGATAGGAGGGCTAGGTCATCTGCGAAGTCTAAATCGTCTTGTTGGTTCTGAGCTGTCCATCGTATGACGTAGTTTCCCTCAGATGTCGAGGTCTTCATAATCCAGTCGACCACCAGAAGAAAGGGGAAGGGAGAGAGTAGACAGCCTTGTCTTACTCCGGTCCTTACTTGGAATGCGTCTGTCAGCTGTCCTCCATGCACTACTTTGCACTGTAGTCCATCGTATGAGTTCCGGATAATATTGACAATCTTCTCAGGAATTCCGTAGTGTCGAAGAATTTTCCATAACGTTCTCCTATCTACACTGTCAAATGCCTTCTCATAATCAATGAAGTTGATGTACAGTGACGAGTTCCACTCAATTGATTGTTCGACGATGATCCGTAGTGTCGCAATCTGGTCTGTGCACGACCGGTCCTTACGGAATCCAGCTTGTTGATCTCGAAGTTGAGCGTCAACTGCGTCTTTCATCCTGTTCAGTAACACTCTGTTGAAGACTTTACCCGGTATTGACAGTAGTGTAATGCCTCTGTAGTTTTCACACTTGCTCAGATCTCCTTTCTTTGGAATCTTGATGAGGTGTCCTTCTTTCCAATCCATCGGCACTTGTTCCTCCTCCCAAATCTTCTTGAATAGAAGATGAAGCATGCTTGTAGTTACTTCGATGTCTGACTTCAACGCTTCAGCTGGTATATTGTCAGGTCCTGCTGCTTTCCCGCTCTTGATTTGTCTGACGGCCATTCTGATTTCTTCTGTCGTTGGTGGATTGACATTTATAGGAAGATCTGTGTGTGCTGCTTCGATGTCCGGTGGATTCATTGGAGCCGGTCTGTTCAGGAGTTCCTCGAAGTACTCTGCCCATCTGTTGCGCTGTTGTTGAATCTCAGTGATTGGTCTTCCTTCTTTGTCTTTGACTGGTCTCTCTGGTTTACTGTATTTCCCTGCAAGCTTCTTCGTCGTATCGTAAAGCTGTCTCATATTTCCTTCTCTTGCAGCTTTTTCCGCCGTCGTTGCTAGTTCTTCCACGTATTTTTGCTTATCAGCTCTAATGCTCTTCTTCACTTGCTTGTTTGCTTCTGTATATTCAGCTTGTGCTTGGACTTTCTCTGCTCTTGTTCGACTGTTGTTAATTGCTGTCTTCTTGTTCTTTCTTTCTTTGATCCTGTCCAGTGTTTCTGTAGAGATCCATTCCTTGTGATGATGCTTCTTGGGGCCCAGAACCTCTTGACACGTTGAAGTTAATGTTTCTTTGATACCTTTCCAGCTATCCTCCATAGTAGTTTCTTCTTCCTTCAGTAGATCCTGTAAGGCTTGGAACCTGTTGTTGAGAGCTACCTTGAATTCATTGAATTCATTACGGTCAAATAGCCTTATAATTGACTTAAGTTTCCAATCTTTTACTATAACTCATCGTTGAATAATGACGTGTATACGCTATTTTAGCAGCAGAATATTGTTGTCCTTCAAGTGTCACTGGTTGTGACAAGGATTCAGTTCTGAAATGACGGATAAATTCTTGACCATTGTGTTTCTATTAGCAATATATCCATAAAAATTGGTGGTCATGTAATGTTTGTATGAAATAATGATTACTTTGTACTTGATTCCTGGTTGATTTTGAATTCTAAAGACAATACGTTCGTTTGTGCTCACCTAGATCCGTCTGGTTTGAATTACGCTATTTCGGGGATTCCTATTTAGTACAACAATTCGGATACTTATAATTATCACTTTGGCGTCGTGATGGAGTCAAATTTTGGACAGTTGGATATGAAGTCAAGTGGGGACGACTTCGAGGACTACATGGAGCGGTTCGAAGTCTAGAGCATGACTAGAAAATATATTAAAGATGATCGGTTGATTGCTGGTATAAATATTCTGAATTTATAAGGAGAATTAATTCATAAACCCAAAAGTTCATTCCAAGAAATAAAAACAGCTTGTATTAACTATTAGGCAGTGAATGAGTTTGATTTGAAGACAGGGAAAATTTCTAATACTTTACTTAGTCGTCATGATGATCTACACTGAGAGTGGACCGTCTTTACTAGGTCTAGAAAATTTAAAAATGCTTCAGAGTCAGCTTTCCTTGTTGACCACTGGAAATGGTTCTAATGGCGTACTTGATAAATTGTTAATTACGGAATCAAAGTGTGGAAAATTACACACGATTTCAAAGTCCCCTCATTTTCATGTGCAAGCAAGAAATTTCTAAACCTTGAAAACAAATAACGGTTCTACTACTGCTGAAAAAGTTAAAAGACCCAGAGGGGAGAGCAGATAAATTCCATCAGTGCAGAATTACTAGACCGTGCGCAAAACAGTGATGAAATTGCTAAACAAAGATATCTTCGTAAAAGAACTCCTTTTCAACAATCTATGGAAGGTTTGCTAAAACAGGTCAATAAATCTGTCGTTTATATGCAAGTCAGTAACAATAACCGACAGTTACAACTAACCAGGTGAGTCTGTTAATTCTAATACTAATGAGTATATTCTAGATCACAAAGAGTCTACATCCAATACACGGTCTGATAGACATACAATGAACCTAAGAAGAAGACGTACAATCGATTACAGAAGTATGGATTCCAATTTGAGCTATGGCGGTCGTGCTGTCAATATGAAGTAATGATTACTTTGTACTTGATTCCTGGTTGATTTTGAATTCTTAAAACAATACGTTCGTTTGCGCTCACATAGTTCTGTCTGGTTTGAATTGCACTATTTTAGGAATTCCTAGATAGTACACTGATTCGGGCACTTCTCATCATTATAATAACTTTTGTTGAAAAGGGTTGCTCGTAAATCCAATGTTAGTTATTTGAACGGCTTTATATGTGTTTGTCTATAAATTCACTAATAATTTACATGATGAGGCTAGTAACTTCGTTCATCATCCGGAAAATTTTTTAAGTGTGGTAAAGTACTGATCCAAGTGCTTATGACTATAGAAAGTCTTCACAAACTTTTACTTATACGAAGGGGGTTTTGTGGAGATTTTAGTAATTTCAATTGTTGAGATCATGCGTCAGTTGAAGCTAGACCACAATGGGGAACCTGGAAGCACTGAACGGCCGTTTCGTCCTGTTGTTGGACTCCTCAGCAGTGCGCATCCACGATCCCGCCTCGCGGCATTTGAACCCAGGACCTACTGGTCTCGCGTGCAAGCACTTAACCACTAGACCACTGAGTCGGCATCCAACGGAGTTAATGTTTAACTTCAACTAATCCACGAATTTGAACGACACATCCACCATTGTCATCAATGAGCTACTATCTCACAACTGACCCGGTTGAACTCCACTGGTCACTGCTTCTCACTAGAACTCCAGGATATACATCTTGAAGCCAGTCACTAGTGAGCGTATGTTGATTATTATCAAAAGGGGGTTTGTGGAGCATTTAGTAATTTTACTTATACGACCTATTTTGCCAGGTCAAGAGGTCAAGAAAAGACTGTTATATTCTTATTACTAACTTACTGTAATTTAGACATTTAATCCATTATGTATATGAATGTGCTATTTCGACTAAACACGTTTCTGTATATAGAATATGCAGTCGAAAACTTTACTCATTGACCTATTTGAACTCAATAAAAACACACATTCAAGTGCACACGATCTTCGTCTCCACTTCTCTCCAATCGCTTTTCGAATGTTTGTATATTTGACCGATTATTAACAATACACGTATTTTTCAAAACAACTGATATAAATTACAACAGTCCGAGTGCGTAACTTCCATGTGGGTAGAAATTTCTACGTTCGAGGTAAAAAAAAACACTTTTTTAATTAAATGTAACAGAGCAGCGACTAAATCTGCCATTTTAAATGAGCCTTGATAGAGTAGATCGTTCAACAAGATCCTGGCGTCCTCAACGGAGCTATCTATTAACGTTTTCACCTATTCTGGTTGGCTAGGGTTTGGTGAAAAACGACCAGGCAGATACTATAGTCACTGGTAATTGGGGTCGAGTTACAACCCCGTAATAGCAATAGCAAAGTCTTAGTTAATGGTTTCCA